TAGCTCTTATTATATATATATATATATATATATATATATATATATATATATATATATATATATATAACCATAAAAGATAAAAATATATTATATTTATGTTTTCTTTTCATATGAATGAAATATTTTAAATTCTTATATATCTATATAATTTTTTCAAATATTATGAATTATATTTTGTAAAATATTTTAAAATATAGATTAAAAAAATTAATTGTAATTTTTACAAATTTGTAAATAATTATATTATTATATTTTAAGGGGAAAATATTATATTTTTATTATTTTTTATATTACACATGCATAATAAGTTTTATATATATATATATATATATATATATATATATAATTTTTAAAAATGCTTTGATTATGTTTTATTAAAAAATATAAAATATTTAACTAAAATTTATAAAATAAAATGGATTACTTGCCTATATAATTTTTAGTGAATATAAGATTTGATTACATTCTAAATTTTTTATGTTTTTAATATAGACCGAATTGATTTTTGACATATATATTAAATTACCAAAAAAGTGTCCAAAAAACTATAAAAAAATGCTAACAAATTGGTTAGTTGTTTAACAAATTGACAAAGTGAGACATTATAAACGGTTTGGATAGATTTTTGAGTGGGAGACCACAAAGCTAGTGATTCCAAATTAGGGTAATTGGTTTGATTGAGCCACCTTTATATGTCACATGCTCACCATTAATATGCTTTGTGGAACCCACTTTTCTCATTAATTACCACTTTATTTCCCAAAGTTAGCGTAGCACAATAATAAAATCCTATTTCCAAATAACATTTCGACTGAACTATCCATTACTTTACTTAACAATCTATTTTTTCTTATCTTCTCCTTATTAAACAAATTTTCATCTAAAAATCATTGTCTCACGCCGTGATAGATAATTCCTAGGAGATATTCTTCATTTTAAAATTATAATTCGTTATGATTTTTATATTTTTAAAAAGTATTTCGATTAAAAGTACTTTTTATCTCATGTGAATATAACATTACTTAACAATCGAGTCTAATAATACATAATATATATATATATATATATATATATATATATATATATATATATATATATATATTATGTTTTAACTCATCAGAATAATTTAAAAAAATAAAATTATGATAAATTAAAGTTTTAACATGAACAATACCAATTACCTCTAACAATATTATCATAAAATCAAAATATTCTTATTCTTAGATTATATATATATAAAACATAGAATCATATTTGAATACGGCTTAAATCTATTCTTAATTTTATCAATATAAAATAAGTTTATATATATATATATATATATATATATATATATATATAAACTCAATAAGTATTATTTTTGTTCATTTATTATAAAAATTAAATATCTTATTATTTGTTAATTATTTCTATCAATTTGTATTGATTTTCACACTAACAAAAATATAAAAATTAAATATAGTTTGATTTTAAATTTTTTAAAATTTTGAATTAAAGTAATAAAAAAATTTTAAATGTATTGATTTTAATGATTTTTACAATTTCTATTATAAAATTATTAAATAAAAAATAATATAAAGTATAATATATAATTAATTATGATATATTATATTTTTAATTTATTTATATATTTTGTAATTTAATTTAAAAAAAACAGTAATATATATATTTTAATTTATACAAAATTGATTGATTGATTCATTATAAATATCGTTTTATATTTTAATTTAATAAGTATATATTATAATTTTTATTTGGAGAGTTTTGAGTTTATTTTTTAATTGTTAAATTAAAAACAAAATAAAATAAATATTACAAATTTTCAATCCAAAAAACAAAATCAATTTTTAAATATTTTTATTAATTTTTATTTTATTTTGAAATGAGCTAGATTTTAACACTCTATTTATTTTATTAATAATTATATTAATATACAATGTTACATATAATAACATTTTTTTATGCTTTCTATATTATAAATGACGAGTGAATTCATAAATAATTGAGTTATTAAACATTTACTTGATAATATTGTTATTACTTTATGATATATTCACATATTTCTTCACGTCCCATTATATCATTTCAAATGATTGTTGATGTATCATAATTGAATACGCATCACATCTTAGTTATAAAGACTATGTTTAAAAATACTAAAATCAACGAAAACACACACACACACAAAGAAATAAAAATCAAATGAATTCATAGGTATATTAGAAAAAAAAATATTATCAAATATAATTTTAATAAAACTCATTAATATATCTTCCATGTTAGCTTTACATAAACCTATTATGTAAGAACAAATATTAACTTCTTATTAATTTTTACAATTTTAATATTTAATTTCGTTTAGTTTAAAATTATATATATATATATATATATATATATATAATTTTTTTATTTGTTCAAAAAGTAGTATTAAATTTTTTATTTAAAATATTAAATAAATTATTATTCAAAATATTGAATAAAGTGTAGGCTTGAAAGTAGAATCTATAATATATAGTTATAAATAATACTTTAAATGAAAGTACGATTAGTTTGTCGTTAAATAAAAATAAAATAATATTATCTTTACATAAAAAGACAATTTATTTTTAATTCTTATAAATATAAATATAATTAAATAAAATTTTAAATAAATATTATACATTATTATTAATTCTAAATAAATAATATAACGTCCTTATTATAAAACATTATTTATTTTGAATTTGGATATAGTAATAAACCTAATGATGATATATTAAACAATTTAAAGTAAAATTATTAATATTATGTAGTCAAAATATAGATTGGATAGTCACTAGTAAAAAAAAAGTAAAAATAAAATATTTTCGGTATTAGATAAAAATAAATAAAATTTATCTTTTATAATAATAATAATTTGTTTTCGTATATGAAATAATAATAAAAATATAAGAAAAATATGAATTTACAAAATTATCTTAATTTAAATAAATTATTATTTATTTTATATTTACAATATATATATATATATATATATATAGATTACTAATTTAATAACATGTCATAAATATAAAAATAATTATAAAATTAAATAAATAATTTAATATTTATTTATTGATAATATGACATTATTTTTAATTTAAATTCAAATATTTTTAGAAAAAAGTTATTTTATAATAAAATTATTTTATAATTTTTTAAAAATATATATTATTACAAAATAGGTATTAATTTGTATTCCTTTAAAAATGTATTTTTTTAATAAAAATTAATTAATAATTATATAGATAATTTTAAAATTAAATAAATTTTAATTTTAATTTATTTTTTTAATATTTTTTAACATTGACACTTTTCTCCCAAATAAATAATAATATTTTACATTTTATTGTATCTCTTTTGTTATTTTTCTTTCACTTTTTTTCCTCACATATTCTTTTCTTACTTTGGAATATACAGTTATAATTCAAAATATTGATTAAGTATACTTGTTGTTTCACTTTATTATTCTTATGCAATATACTACTATGACATGATTAAAGGTTAGCATGGAACGTAGATAGAGTTCACAGAAAACGAAAAGAGGCAAGAGACAATGGGAATAATGTTAATTTTATTTTTTTACTTTGTTATTACTTATTCACCCTTTTCTTCCCTTTGATAATAACATTTGTGTTGGAAGTTGATGACACGAGTTGCATCATGGAAACGGCAGATTGATTAGTGACCATTGCCATTTGCTCTGAAGATGGTCATGCTTTTATGTTAGTGCTGGATGTGGACATAAACTACAAAGACCTGTTATTACCATTTTCATCTAGTTTTTTGCAAGATTCTTTTTGGTTTTCTTCCTTTCTGCGTTACTATTTTTCAGAATCATCAATTGAATTACCTCCATAATCTGAAAAGCAGGATTCAATAGCCACATGGGGAGGTATTAAATTCCAGTACCATCACTTGAAATTTTCGAAATGAATGCTACCCAAAAAAAGTGAAATGCAAAATTATCAATCTTTTTGGTGGTCCTCTAGTAAATTAACCGAACCAAGCCATTTTATGATTCTAATCAGGGATGTGGGGTGGTGAGTGCTTCCACTGAAAACGATGAAACTTGGACACTCGTGTGTCATAACTGGCTCTCAGCCACACACGCAAAGAGAGAGAGAGAGAGAGAGAGGAGATGTTATTGTATGAGTTTAAAGAAAGTGACCTACTTAGTCCTTCATAGACCATTGCCCCAACTAAAAGGGCATGTGACCCATTAAGCTGAGCATCTCAGATACGATTTTCAAATTCTTTTCCCTTCTCACCAATCTTATTTCCCAATGATATCCATGGTGTTATTAGAACGATTGGGATGAAAAAAGGGATTAGAAGTAGACGTGGGGTCGTGTGAGGTGTGGGCGACAAGTCACATGGCATGTTAGGCCATTCTGCTGTGTCCAATAAGCATGTTTTTGGAGCTTTCGGGAAAAGTTTAGAGAAGTGGAGTTAGCCATTAAGTCCATTCAATTTCGTCGACACATTCACTTTAATTTCCTCACAGTATCATAGAGCCTTATTGCTCCTGTTGCTAATGTCTACATTTTGAACCTTTTGATGTAGAGTCAGGACCTGCAACAAGCCCTTCTCAGCTACAAACTTTTTTCTACTAAATTTCATTCTTGTTCTTTCCATAACCAAAATACAGTCAAATCCATTGTTGAATGCGTGGATCAAACCAACAGTACGAGATTGTTTCGGCTGATGCTCTTTAAATTCATAGCAGAAACAAACAAGATTCACATAAATGAGTAACTAACAAGAGAATGTCGTCGGTGATAGTTAAAAGTCTATGTTCACATTCTCAGAGACTAAAATAGGAGATGGAATGACTGAAAAGACAAAGATATAGATAGATAGAAATATATGTATTTGACATCAAGTAGAAAGAAAGCTTCTTTTATAGAAAGGGTGAAAGAAAAGGAGGCAAAATAATAGTAAAAATTAAAAAAATGGACAGACGCATGGCGTGACATACATTATGAGGGGCTACCGGAGGAGGCGCCGGAAGAAGAAGAAGAAGAAGAAGAAGAAGCGGAGAGAAGGTTAAAGAGGGCGTTCATGGCTAGAACCTGCATCTCAAGCGCGGGTATGTAATCGATGGCTTCTTCCAGAACAACCGGTAACGGTTCTTTTCGGCAACCGGGAACCAACCGTCCCAGGAGCCTCACTTTCCTCTGCACACTCGCTCCACTCTTCCCCTTCAGCCGGTGAACGCTCACGCGTGCTTTCTTCCACCGGTTAGGGGGTGTTGTGGTCACTCTCTGTCTCTTGTGTTTGGTGAACTTGAGCTTGAGCCGGTTGGTGAGGATGGCTCGGCTCCACCGCGTCCTCCCCTTCGCCGTCACTGCTAGGACTCTGTCGGCGGCTTCGCGCACGGCTTTTCCCTTTGGCGGCGCGGAGGCGAGGTTGACTCTGGCCAAGGCTTGACGCAGCTTGGAGGAGTAGATTTGTTGCTGCGCTTGCGATTTCCATTTGGGGTGGCTCTGATCCTCTCGCTGCGGTGTTTTCTTCTTTTTTCTTCTCTTTGCGTCACGTGACCGGTCCGTGCTCTGGGTTGTCGGGTTTGAGATCATGGATGACGATGGTGGTGGTGGTGACGGCGACGACGATGACGATGACGATGATGCCATCTGAAGAACGTTGAATTCTTAAAACTAGAATTGGATATTTTGAGATACTTCTCTGACAGAAAGAGATTAGAATGTCGAAAGAGAATCAGAGAGTGTGAGTGATTGGTTTGATTAAGTCAGAGAAAGGTTTCAGAGTGATGGGTATGTAGTTGGTGGAGGAGAAAGATTGAGAGAGTGAAAATGGAACGGGACGGAACGGGGTGGTGGTGGGTGAGGTGTTCCGTTTTGAGTTGAAGGGAGAGAGAAACGGTGGAGGAGAGATATAAAGAGATCACAATCGCGTCCTTTTCTTTTCTTTATTTATTTAAAAAAAAAAGTGTTTTATTTTTGTTGGGCCATTGAGGCATTTGTTGATGGACTGGACTGGGTTAAACTTTTTGCACTTATTTAATCTCAGCCCAGCCAGCCTGTAAAGCCTATTTAATCTCCCAAATCAATATTAAAAAATTCAATATTGTTTAATATTTTGTAAACTGGTATGTACAAATTATTCATCATTATTCCTATAAATTCATAATTTTGTATTTATTTACACAATTTTAATTTTTAATTTTTAATTATATGAATTTTTTTTCATATTTTATCTTTCAAAAAGTTACTACTTTTAATCCTAGCAGTCTTACTGTTTTGAATAATGTAAAATAAACGTTACAAATATAATGTATTTTATCTCAATATATCATATCCAAGTAACAAAAAAAAGGACAAAAATAAATTGAAAACTAAATAAAATAATGTATGATTACAAATAAAAAATACGTAAAAGGAAATTCAAAAACAAAATTAAATATATTTAAAATGAAAAATAGAAATAGAAGCTATAAATTTTATAAAATATAGAAACTAAAATTACCGCGGATTATTTATTAGCCTTTGTTTTCTGCGGCAAGTAAGTATCATACAGAGAAGTAAGTAGTCTATATATGCAATTAAATGGAGAAAAAGCTCCCTTATTTGTAATCAAGTAAAAGTATCAATCTTATATTTTATGTACCAATATTTTAATAACTTTTTCATTCGAATTAATGTCGATGATGTATAACTATGGACGAAGAATGTGCTTGTTTTTTATTCTTGGGTGCCAGAAAATGAAGATCCCGATAAGTAAAGGGAATCGACAATAGGTACTGCCAACAAAAAAGTATCAATAATTGGTAATTAAATATACAAGTCTGCAGCAGTAAATATTACTATAATCTGTTAAAAGAAGTTGGACGGAATTAGTTACATTTTAAGATTTATTTATTGCAAAACTCAACGGTATAAATATATATTTTTTAAAATATACTTGAAATTATTTAAAAATATATATTAAATTTATAATGTGTTTTATCTAATGAGAATAATTTTATTTTTAAAACACATTTCGATGGAGTAAAAGTTAGAATTAATTTTTATGTTCAGAAGCATTATCTTTTTTGAAAGATTTGTCCATCACAAATTTATCATTAAAAAACATCATTTTTGGGAAAGATTCGTCCATCACAATTTTATTATTAAAAGACATCACGATAGCAAAATGTATTTAAATTATATTTATCTTTACTCTAAAGGATGTACGTGAAAAAAAAAAAAAAGGATTATCTAAGAAAATAGATTTGGGAAGCATGACAATTATTTTGACATATTTGGTATAAAAGTTCATGCCATCTAATCTCTAGCATGTCTATCTCATAGTTGAAGATAATAGCATAAAAATCCAGCGAGGTTGAGAGCGAAAGGACCCTTAGGTGGTCCATTCAGACGTTTTATGCACAACAGTGAGACATACTCATAAAAAGGGCCAAATGGATTGCACCAAAGGGGTTGGAAGAATTAGGAAATGTTTTGGAGACGGATAAAAACCACAAATCATATTAATTAATCAGGGTTTAACATAACATAACATAACAAAATTAGGGTTGAATGTGGAGAATGTGAAGGAAGAAGATTGTTTATGGTTTGGTGGAGTGCATGGGTTTGATGATAGGTAAGCATTGAGCAACTGGATCCGCATTGGATGGGTGCATGATGTGCCTTTCCTCTAATTGACTCAAGAACATGGTCCCACCATTTATTTCTTTTCATTCCGTGCAATCATTGTTGTGTGTGTGTTCATCCATTATAACATTAACCATAAACAAAAGAGGGATGCATGTGGTGCAGTGTGTGTGGAGTGTTTCTCTCCCACTTTTCCATCCCCAAATTCCATTGTTTTTTTAATTTTTTATTTTTTGTTGCAAGCGGTTTTGGATTTTTATTCTTTTCTCACCTTCTGTGTGGACACTCATGCTCCACATTAAATGGGTCCCCACTCTCACGTACAATACTTATTTTACAATTTAATTCTCAATCATTCATATTTACCTTATCATAACCAACATCATGTTTGCCCCTTTTTATTTTCTTATTTCAGAGCAGGCCTCCCAACATGTTCCTATTCGCTCTTCTCTGCTCTCATAACGCTTGCAAATTTAAGGGCCCATTGCTCTGTCCCTACTCCCTTGGATGATAGCTCGGGACTCGAGGGATACCCAAATGTAAAAAGAAGCTCACACTTATAAAATTCCCAATCCCAATTGAAGGGTGAAAACTCAACAGTAAAAGGGGTCAAGATAAAAACAAGATTCAAGTGCCAAAGTGATCATGGATGATTTTGTTTACGCTTATAGTAATCGCAATCATAAGCACACTACTCCTCGTTCTTGTTAAAATCACTACATGGAATTATGATGTGCCAGCGAGGTTGCCTCACTTGTGTGAGACAAACTAAGACAGAGACCTCCAAACGACAAGGGATAATAAAAAGAACAACAAACAAAATAATGTACTTGGTGCACATCATTAGTGTAGGGTAATCCAATATTAGTTACAAATTATTCATGCCTACATTAGCAATGAATTTATGTATCCTTCAACAATATAACACAATCAATTACTTATTTAAAACCCTAGATTTTAATAACATCAATTTTTATGTATTGACAACTATGTAGCCATCATAAATTACATGTATATAGAGCCACTGGTAATGTAAATTACATCAATGGATATGAACACACAATAATTTATTTGCAAACTTGTTGTGGTTGTTCTTTCTCATACATCCTAATATTTGTCCTCCTGTTTGCAAATTATAAATTATCACTCGAACAATTATCGAAACTTTAACCGTGATCACAAAAATTCACGCAATCCTAATATTTGTTTATTTTATTTTTTACCATTATTAATCACAATGTACATCTGAGTTATTTATTGACTAACTTTATGAGGATTTTCATAACCAAATGTTATTTTTTTTCCTATACCGTGACTTTTTAATTGACATCGATGATAATATATTTATTTATTAAGTAAAAAAAATTAGTTGATGTCCGTTGGAATTATTTTCTAAATAACGTTCTCGAATTTATTTATTTATTAATGTAAGTTATAACTATTTTTTAATTAATGTTTGTCAATTTGTTCTTGAATACTAATAATGAGACTATTTTTGTTATCATATTTATGTATAAAAGACTATATAAAAGAGCTTGAACCAAGTTGGAGAAGAGCGGAAGAGGCATATCAAGGAACATATACTAAGCTGGCAATGTTGTTCCAAGAAGATGACGTGTCATGGAAGCCACTTGGAAGACGTGTAGTTGCTTACATCAGGATCTATGTATGGAGTGGGGCAGTTAGGGATAAGTTTCATCGTCAAAATTCGACTAACAAAGAGCAAAACATAAAAAAGAAAGATTGAGTTCCGTTTCATCTCATTCGAATGGCCCAAACCTAAATACAAATTCACCCATTGCTTAAATGTACATGCAATGAAATAATAAGTATAGGTGTGTAAGTTCCGTACGATACCAATTGCGTCTAAAATCAAATCCAAAACCACACACAAAAAAAAAAGAACACAAGTAAAAATAATGGTAATCTCTAAAATATTTACGGATTTTTCTTTTTCAAACTACTGTCACTTAAACAAATTTACATATTACATTTTTTTCAAACTACTGTGGAATAGATCGGAGCAAGAAAAATAAAATAAAACGGAAGACTACTGTCATTTGTATTTGTGTTTTGTAATTGTTTTTTTTTTTTTTTTTTAAAGCCCAGTATTGCTAATTGAGAAGATGAAAGTGTCACAAATCTCTCCATGCAGACAACATTATGAACAAAAGCCCATAACACAAGCCCAATCCTTGCTGTCACCCACAATCCAAACTCAGCCGGCTTTTTTACCAAAAGGTTTAAAAAAAAATTAATTTTACTGTAACGGGTTAAAATTCGTGCTATGAACCACGACTCTTTTTTTTTTTTAAATACATTTTCTTATTTTTAAAAATATATTATTTAGTAAATAATTATTTTCAATTAAATTATTAATTTAATAAAAAATAAAAAAATTTAGACAAATATGATTAAATTTAATTTACTATACTTATATTAAAATATTACAAGTATATACCTTATCACACACAAAAATTAATGGTGAGACTATGTCTCATAAGATGGTCTTTTTATTTGTCGTCTTAGTTTACATAGTTGATCTTGAATAAACTTTTGTTGTGCTTGTGTAGCACGCGTACGTCCCTGTAATGGTTGAAGTTGAATGTTTAGTTGTCTATCATTATGATCATCCTCTTCATTTGCATACTGCATAAGGGACATATTAGGCATAGTAGTCACAAAAGGTGTTTGATTGTATGTTGATGGTGATGTCATGGAAGAGGTGAAAAACATGTTTGTTTTAGATGAAAATGAAGTAAATGTAGGAGGAACTTGTCTTCCAAATTGAAATTACGCAGGTAAATTTTGGAGTTTACCAATATATCCAAAATATGGATAAGGTTGTTGATCATTCGACTAATCAACACGTTGATGACTAAACTGACCAACATGTTGATCACTTGACTGACCAACATGGACATAATTAGGTTCGCCAATATATTAGGGTTGTTCCTGTTGCTCTATATTGTACTGTTAAAAAATAAAATCAATATTAGCTTAATATGAATGTTATATAT